GCGGGGCGCGGGGCGGCGATCCGCGCCCTCCTGTGCTGTGCAGGCCTCCCCCGGGCCCTCGGCGGTCGGTCTGGTAGTGATGACCCAGGATTCCGACCTGTGACGACAACTATTCAGATAATAAATGGTCTGTGATCATAGTTTCGGTGGCTCATGTCTGTCGGCCGTTTATTTTTATCTACGCGCTCGGCTCTTTCTGTGCCTCTGCCCCAAGAGACACTGACTTACACGCTCTTGCACGGGCCAGCGCTGCACCCTGACAGCGCTCCCAGCCCGCGCCCATTTTTTATAGAAAAGAAAACAGACTCAGATTTTTTTTGATCAGCCAGTTTGACTTTGGACAAGTTACTTAATCACTGTGTGTTTCGTTTTCTCAAATGTAAAACAAGTTTAGTGGTATCTATATTATACAGATGTTATGACACAAGTATGATACAGCGGAGGGCAGTGGTGCACACCTTCGTCCCAGCTACTCGGTAGGTTAAAGCAAGAAGGTCACAAGTTCAAGACCAGCCTGGATAACTTACCAAGACCTTGTCTCAAAATAAAAAGGGCTGGGAGTGTAACTCTGGTAGAATGACCTTGGGTTCGATCCCCAGTTCCTCAATTAAAAAGTCTGATAACATTTATAATAAATAGCATAAATAGTGTGTGTATCGATCACCCTTATTAAGTATTCATCACTCTTATTGTCCTCAGGTCAGAGTCATAAATGGGAGACCCTTCTGTCTGTCCCTTTAATCTTTTTGTTTGTTTGTTTTTTGAGACAGGGTCTCCCTATGTAATCCAGGCTGGCCTTGAACTCGCGGTGATCCTCCTGCCTCAGCCTCCCAAGTGCTGGGATTACAGGTGTGCGCCACCATGCCTGGCTTATTCTGGTTTTTGGTTTTGGTTTTTGGTTTTTATTCTGTTTTATCTCAATATAGTTTACGCCATTTAGAAACATGTTTGTTATTCTTTTCAAATTAGCACCTTCTCCATGTGAGCAGGAACTTGTTTTGTTCCATGGTGGGGCCTCTGTATAAAATGGCTTTAGTGCCTAAACTAGCACCTGGGACATAATAGGTGTTTAGTAAATACCATTGATTGGCCAATGGTTGAATGAATTCACCACCATTGTGTTTGTCTATGAAGCCGAGCCTCTCTTGTCATCAGGCTTACAAAATCTCTTCCCTAAATCAGAAGGGAAGAGAGACTCTTGGGGTTCACAGAGGCTGTCTGGACTCCTCCAGGTGAAGGTGTTGAAAGAGAAGATAGAAGCGGAGAAGGGCCGTGATGCTTTCCCAGTGGCTGGACAGAAACTCATCTATGCTGGCAAGATCCTGAGCGATGATGTCCCCATCAGGGATTATCGCATTGATGAGAAGAACTTCGTGGTTGTCATGGTTACCAAGGTGGGTGATTAGTAGGGGAGCTGGCAAAGAGCCTGCATGCCCAGGAGAGATTAGCCAAGCACAGGGCAGGGCCTCGTCGGGGCAGGATGTTGGGGCTTGATAGGAGCGCTGACGCTGGCCCCCTTTCTTTTGCTGTCACAGGCCAAAGCTGGCCAGGGTACCCTGGCACCCCCAGAGGTCTCACCCACTGCTGCCCCAGAGCCCTCCACGCCCTTCCAGCTGACCCCTGCCTCAGGCATGTCCCATCCATCACCTGCCACCAGAGAAGACAAGAGCCCATCGGAGGAGTCAGCTCCTACAACGTCACCAGAGTCGGTGTCAGGGTAAGGCAGGGGCAGCAGTTCTCCTGAGGCCCTGTCCCGCCCGTACCTTCAGTGTCCGCCTGTGGTCCCACACACTTGGGGGGAGGGCAGGCCACCAGAAGCCAAGGTCCGATTTCTCTCTCTTGAATTTGCAGCTCTGTTCCCTCTTCAGGTAGCAGCGGGCGAGAAGAAGATGCGGCCTCCACACTAGGTGGGTGGGTGGTCCTTGGGGTAGAGGTGACTGGGTGCCTGGCATCAGCTGGGCCTCCTCTGGGTGTGGGAGGGTATGGGTGCTGCCTTGCCCTGTCCTTGGTGACAGAGATTCTGGTGCTCCCTTATAGTGACTGGCTCTGAGTATGAGACGATGCTGACAGAGATCATGTCCATGGGCTATGATCGGGAGCGTGTTGTGGCCGCCCTGAGAGCCAGCTACAACAACCCGCACCGGGCTGTGGAGTATCTGCTCACGGTGAGGTGGGGCTACCACCTCCTGGGGTGGTGCCTCTTGGAGGCAGCTGCCAAGGAGACCTGGGTGGGGGCTGCTATCACTGAAGGCTTCCCTTGGGAGGCGGGGCAGGAGTGGTGGGTGGCCCGTGGTGGGCAAGGCAGCCGGAGGTCTGTGCTGGAGAACTAAAGAGGATTTCTGACAGGGAATTCCGGGAAGCCCTGAGCCTGAACACAGTTCCGTCCAGGAGAGCCAGGCGTCTGAGCAGCCAGCCACAGAAGCAGGTGGGCGGGCTAGGCATCATGCTCACGGGGCATCTCCTGGGGCCAGGCCCTGGGTCCCTATGTGGTTTCTGACTGCATCCCTTCCTGCTGCTGGCAGGAGAAAACCCCCTGGAGTTCCTTCGGGACCAGCCCCAGTTCCAGAACATGAGGCAGGTGATCCAGCAGAACCCGGCGCTGCTGCCCGCCTTGCTCCAGCAGCTGGGCCAGGAGAATCCTCAGCTGTTGCAGGTGCGGCCTAGGCAGGGGGAGTGGGGCAGGTACCACAGCCTGTGGTTGAGGGGTTACTGTTTATCTGGATGGCAGAGTGAAGGACAGTTCCCATCCCCACTGGCCAAGAGTCTTGTGGGCTCTTTGCTGGTGGAATCTGTGTGTGGGCCGAGCAGTGCAGCAAGCCCCTCTGGGTCCTCTGTGAGGTGGCTCAGGACCTGCCAGCTTCTGCTCCTCCCTTTTCAATCTCTTGTGCAGCTTCCTCCTACCCGTCTCATTTTTCTGTATTTTTGAGACTGGGTCTCCCTGGGTAGCTGATGGTGGCCCTGAACTCCCTGGATAGCCCAGGTTGGGCGTTGGACTCGAGATCTTCCTTCCTCAGCCTCCCAAGTGCCGGGGTTATAAACATGTGCCATGTGTCTCAGTCACTCTGTGTTTCATCTGGATTCAGTCCCCCTGGTGCTGTCCGGTGGCCTTCAGTCTGGTGACCTGGATGGAGCCTGGGTAGTCAGCCCAGACTTCGGCATGCCACACTTTCCATGGCTGACTTGACGTCTACGTGTGGCACTTTCTAGATTTCTGAGACAGGACAGACCTTCCCCATACTGACTTCTACTAGGGTCTTTTCTTTCCCTTGGCCCAGCCCCTGCCCCCTTTGCTGCCAACCTGGTCTCCCACTGGCACCTTGATGGCCCCTTGCAGGTCTCTAATTCCACTGCCACCCTGCTCCTTTGTCCACTAGACATAAGATTCTGAAGGACTTTTTTCTTTAATGTGAAAATTGTCAGATGTATTAAAGAGTACAGTTGCACCAGAATCTCCAGACCCCCATGAGTGAATTTTCAAGGGACACACAGATGCATCTTGGCAGTGAGCGCTTGCTGAGCTTGCGAAGGACCTGGGTTCCATCCCTGGCACCAGCACATTCCCAGGCTGGATGCGGCAGTGCCTGCCGACAAACCCAGCATGGAGGAGGCTGAGGCTGGAAGACGGCCACATGCTTGAGGCCAGCCCTGGGCTACACTACATAGTTTAAGCTGCCCTTGAGTTACATAGAGAGACCTGTCTCAAAAAAAATTGAAAAGTAAAAGTTCCCACATCTTGGCTATCGTAGTTCTCATGATAGCCCACCCTGCTTCCTCCAGGGTATACTTTCATCTTGCTTTTTCCTCTTTTACTCAGCCCAGCTCGCTTTGCAGAGCCAGTTTTTCTTCTCTCTCTCCACTTTTACTTTTTCGAATAAACTACCCCTGCTAAAAAGCAATTAAAAAGTTTCCAGATCTCATCTTCCCTGTTGAACTGTTGCTGCTGTGGCTTCCTGTCACCCTGGAAGAAACTGCCTGGCCCTCGCTTTTCTCTCCCATTTCACCTCCCCCTGTGCTGCCATGTGGGTCTCCTGAGGCTGAGCCTTGCTGGGTGACCCGCCCCAGGACCTTTGTACTTGGCTGCTTGTGCTTTCCACATGCTACAGACCACAGGCCCCTGCAACCTGGGCTTCAGTGATTTCCTAGCCTTAGTCCTGCTGTTGTCTGCTCCCTGTATTAGTCTACTAGCAGCCTGTCTCCAGGCCCTGGTGCATCAGCCTCACCAGGATGGCACTGGTCCCCACCCTGTGTTGCTTTCAGTATGGACTGACTGAAAAAGCAAGGTGTGGGGGTCTGGGGAGGGGGGAACAAGGCCAGGCCTCCCCAACCCTCCCTCTCCCACAGCAAATTAGCCGGCACCAGGAGCAGTTTATCCAGATGTTGAACGAACCCCCTGGGGAGCTGGCGGACATCTCCGATGCAGAGGGGGAGGTGGGCGCCATAGGTGAGGATGCCCCACAAATGAACTACATCCAGGTGACACCGCAGGAGAAGGAGGCGATCGAGAGGGTAAGTGGCTAAGTGTCTGGCTCGGGCTGGGGCTGGGACTGGGATTGGGGCTGGGGCCGGGGCCACCCTGCCTGGCAGCCCTTACCCACCCCCTCATGCTCATGGTGGTCTCCCCACAGTTGAAGGCCCTGGGCTTCCCTGAGAGCCTGGTGATCCAGGCCTACTTCGCATGTGAAAAGAACGAGAACCTGGCTGCCAACTTCCTCCTGAGTCAGAACTTTGATGACGAGTGACACTGGGAAGCCAGGCCGCCCACTGCCCCCACCCTGCCCCACTCCACAAAAGTTTTATAAAAGAAAAAAATATATATATATTCATCTTTATTTAAGAAGTGGAAAAAAAAAGTCAAAAACCTTTTTAAAAAAACCAGCCCAGCTTCCCACCCTCTTCAAGTAGCCCCCATTCCTTCCTGGTCTGAGAGGACCCAGGCCAGACAGCTGTCCCCATCCTCCCAGCCCAGCCTGCTCAGAGTTGCTGGCAGGGCCAAGAGGCGGCAGATGGGCTCCTCTTGGCCTCTGTCCCAGCTCCCTCAGCCAGATGGAGAGGCGGCTGTTCACTCCCCACCCCGCCGTCCTCCAAGATGAGGGGAAGCTGGAGCCCCAAACTTTGATCCTCCATCGGAGTGGCCGGAATCTTTCCATCTGGGGCAATCAGCAAGGCCCCCTCCCTAGGCTGGCCTTGGCCTCCAGCCTGGGGAGCAAGCGTGACATCAGCCCTAGAGGCCAAGGCCACCCCCATCCCAGAACAGAACTGTGTCTCTGATAAAGGTTTTGAAGTGAATAAAGTTTTAAAAATGAGCCCTAATGGTCCGTGCCATGCCAGCTTGCCGGCATCGGGAAGCTGGGCCCTGGAGGTGGAGGAATGGGGCAGGGGCGCCTGTCCCAGTCAGCACGGGAACAACCACTTCTCCCAGCCCCCCACCACCGTCACCACAGTCTGTCTGGGCTGCGCCTCCCCCTGGTAATTGGCTAATTACTGGAGATTAATGTTGGTAAACAGAAGCCTTCTTCTCTGCTGCCATCTGCTCCTCTATTATCTGCCCAGCACATCCCTTCCTCCCCTGAAGCCCCAGTTAGTCGGCATGGTATGGCCCAGGGTCCCTGTTCAAACAGAGCTGGCTAGGGAAGTCCCCAGCCCCAGGTGTTGGGGAAGGAGCCAGGGAACCTGGAGAGGCACCTGGAGAAAGGACGCAGAGGCCTGTGGGGAGAGGCTGCAGGGCAGCAGGCTTTATTGGGAAAGGACAAAGCTCAGGAGCTGGCTGCCCCAGGGGCTGGGGCTGGGTCCTGGGCTGGGTCCTGGGCTGGGTCCTGGGCTGGGTCCTGGGCTGTGCTGGCAGCCATGGCAGCAGCCCGGGCCTCCTTCTTCTGCCTCTGTTTTTCCTCCTTGAGGCGCTTGCGGTGCTGCTTCTCCAGGTCCTGCAGCAGCTCCTGGAAGCGTGTGCTCCGTGGGTCCACATGGTAGCCCAGGCGTTCCTGGGCCTCGGCCTGCAGGCGAGCCCTGCGCTCCTTGTCGGCCTGCACCTTCTCCCAGCGCTCGCGCTGCTGCTGCCGCCAGTTCTCAATCATCTGCGGCATCTTGGCCATGCGCTCGGCAATGAGCTGCTCCCTGTGGGGACGGTAGACAGGCCTCTGGTGCCCTGGAATGCCTCCCATCCACCTGAAGCCTGCCCAGTGCCCCACCAAAGTGACAGTGGAGAAGACTCATCTCTGCCACTGACTGGCAGGAAAAGTGCTTGACCAACGCAGGCACAGTGATTGAGGCTGTGCTGTAATCTAAGTGCAGGGTGAGGTCAGCCTGATACATCACTGAGCTGTTCCCTGAGCCACTCAGAGCCACTGCCCTTGAATACCTCATTCCTCATGCCAGGCTTCAGAGTACCTTCTGTATGCTCTACAGACAACAAAGAGCATCCCTGGCCTGGTTCTAGGCACAGAAATGAAGGCACAAAACAGGAAATCAGACATGGCAGCACATACCTGTGATCCCAACACTTAGGCTGAGGCAGGAGAATCACTGCAAGATTGGGGCCAGCCTGGGATACACATCAAGACCTTATCTCGAAAACAAACCAGGTTGGCCACACCCTCTAAGACTCAGTTTGTAGTACCAATCACAGTCACATTTTAAGTATTAGAAAAGGGAAATGAATGGTTAAGGCCCCATGCCAAGGTCACCCAGCTCTGCCACTCACTGTCGTCGTGACTTTGGACATCTGGCCGCACTAAGCCTGTCTCCCTATGCCTAAACAGAGGCTGCTGGCCAGGATGTAGCTCAGTGGTGCAGCACCTGCCTACTGTGTGTGTGACCCGGTTGCATCCCTAGGGTAAACGGAGGGTGAGCTCTGCTCTTCCCAAGGCTGCTGGGGGACAAGGTTAAACACTTGATCTGCCCCCTTACTCCTAGGAAGTAGTCATCCAGATGCCCCTGGTCTTGCCTCCACTCTTCTTCAGTTTTTTTGCTAAGTTGCATTGGCTGTATACTCTTGCAATCCTCCTGCCTCAGCCTCCCAAGTAGGGAGGCTCCTAATCCCTCAACTCTGCCTCCAAAGCCAGTTTATGTCTAGATTCCAGGCCCAACCACTGTCCTCACTTTCCACTCTTCCCCAGCCACAGTGGCCTCCTGGCTGTTCCTTAAGCGAGGTCCTGAACACTGTTCAACCTCAAGATCCCTGCACCAGGGGCTTCCTCTATCAGCATCCCAGTCTCTGAGACATCTCCATGACAATGTCAGCTCATCTAGAGCTCTGGTTAAACATTTTCCCTCCACAGAGCCCTAAAACGTTCGGCATGCTCTTCAGCCTAGTTTGTTTGTTTTGAGGCAGGATCTCCCTACATAGCCCAGGCTGGGCTCGAACTGCCAGTGCTGGGATGACAGAAGTGCGCCTCCACCCAGCTACCCAGTTTTCTGGTCTTAAGGATCCTGTTGCCGCCTGAAACTATCTTGCCTGTTTTGTTCCATGCTGTGTCCTTGGCGCTTGGGACGGGGGATACCCGGGACAGGGCTTTCCCACAGTAGGTGCTGCACACATGTGCCATGCTCTACCGCGAGTTCCGCCCCAGGCCGCGTTTCCCAGGCGTGCGCAGGCGACTGAGCATGCGCGCCAGGCCCACCCCATGACAACCGCGCACACACCTCTCTCGATGCTTTTGTTCCTTAGCCAGCTGTTTCACCCGCAGCGACTCCTGCATGGTCGCCAGGCTCGGGTGCCATTCTCGCTCCTCCGCTTCCAGTTCGCGCAGCTGCTCGGGTGTTGGCCACAACAAGCCCGGGGCCACCTTGGAGGCGGCGCCGTGCCGCGCGAACTGCTTGGCTGCATAGCGCGGACCAAGCTGCCAGCGTGGCGTCAGCGGGTTCTCGGGGTCCGGCCACCAGGGGCCTGGCGATCGGCGTGGAGGTGGCGGCGCACGGTAGCCGCGCCAGCAGGGGCGCAGGGTCGCCGCCAGCCCTAGCAGGCCGCGTACCTGCTGCATGGGCGCCGCCATCTTGGCTTCGGGTCCTCGCAGGCGGCTCAGCTGTCCGCGGCTCCGCCTGAGCGCAGGTGCGAGGCATATCCAGGGCCTCCTGTGCCTCGGCGGATGGAGACGGGGGCGTGCTCACTCTGTGCGGCCTCGGGTTACAGCAGTGCGTTCTGCAGATGTGGCTGTTTATTAAAATGCTGTGGCGTTTAGTGTTTTAAATGTAACAACATCCTTTTATTTTATTTTATTTTATTTTTTTGCTGTTCTGTGTTAGGAACCCAGAGTTTTCCGCAAGCTGTGCAGGCGCTCCACCCGAGCTACAGTCCCAGCCCTGGGCTTTATCGTCAGTAATCTTATTGAAAACATCAGTATTTCCAATTTAAGGGGACTTCCTACATATTGCTTTGCGTTTAAATATTTACAATCTAAGTTTAGAAGGGTTAAGTTTTAAACACACGTTATTCATAGCATTAATTTATTTAGTCTTTCAAAGAACCAACTCTTCGATTCATTGATTCTTTGTATTGTTTTCTTAGTCTCCAATTCGTTAATTTCTGCTCTGATTTTTTTTCTGCTCTGATCGTCATTATTTCTTTCCTTATGCGAGTTTTTGACTTTGCCTGCTTTACTCTTTGTAGAAGTTCGAGGTTCACCATTAAGTTGTTTATTTGCGCTTGCTCTGTTTTCCTGATGTGGGTATTCACTGCTATAAATTTCCCTCTTAGGACTGCATTCCTTGTATCCCATAAGTTCCCGTTTGTTGTACTGTCATTATCACTTAATTGTAGAAACTAATTTCTTCTTTAGTTTCATCTGTGACCCATTGATTGTTCAGGAGGATGCTATTTAATTTCCATGTGTTTGTGAAGTTCTTGTGGTTTCTTTTCTTGCTGATTTCCAGTTTCATTGCACTATGGTCTGATAATATGCCTGGGATAACTTCAGTTCCTTTGCATTTAGTTAAGCATGTTCTGTGAGCTAATATGTGATCTGTTTTGGAGAACATCTTGTGTACAGCTGAGAAGAATGGGTATTCTGATGTTGTGGAGTGGAACACTATAGACACCTACTAAGTCCATTTGTTCAAAACTTTGGTTCACTTTATGGGCCAGGGATATAGCTCAGCAGCACAAGCCCCTGCCTGGCAAGTGCAAGGTCCTGAGTTTGATTCCTGGTACCAAAAAAAAAAAGTTTGGTGCACTTCTAATAATTTCACTGTTGATTTTTTGTCTAGTTGATCTGTCTTTTTGTGACAGTGGGGGTATTGAGATTCCCTAAAACAATTGTGTTAGTGCTTGTTTGATTTTTTATGTCTGTTAATATGTTTTATATAGTTGAGTGCACTAGTACTTGTTACATATATATTCTTATGATTGTTATCTCTTTCTCTTGGATTGTTTCCTTTACAAGGATATAGTGACCTTCTTGGTCTCTCTTAATCAGTCTTAGCTTCAAATTCACTTTGCAGATAGAATAGCAACCTCTGATTTTTCCTGGTTCCTGTTGCATGGAGTATTGTTTTCCATCCTTTGACTTTGTCTGTGAATTTCTTTTTGAATTAAATGTGTTTCTTGTATGCAGCATATGATTACTGGATCTTGCTTCTTGATCCGTTCTGTCAGTCTGTGGCTTTCGATTGGTGAATTGAGACCATTAACATTGATGGTTATAACTGACATGTATTGACTTATCCTTGTCATGTTATTTTCCTGTTGTGGGCTCTCTCTCTTTTTTTTCCCTCCCTCTGTTTAATTATTTGCCTTGCCTGGTGGATTCCTTCTGCTGGAGTTCATTGAGTTGTAGTCTTTGTTATCCCTTTTGAGAATGTCCTTCAAAACATTTTGGAGAGCTGGTTTGGTAGGGTAGTCATAAATTTCCTCAGATGTTCTTTGTCACTGGAAGTATCTTATTTCTCCATCAGTTTTTTTTTTTTTTTTTGTACTGGGAGTCAAACTCAGGACCTTGTGCTTCCCAGGCAGGCGCTGTGCTGCTGAGTTATATCACTGGCCCACTTTGTCAGTTTTAAAAGATAGTTTTGTGAGGTACATCAATTTGGGTTGAAGGTTGTTTTCCTTTGGAACTTGAAATACTGCACTGCAAACTCTCCTTGATTTGAGGGTCTGTGCTGAGAAGTCAGCTGTGATTCTGTTGGGCTTTCCTTTATAGATGTTTTCTTTTCCTTAATAGCTTTTAAGATTCTGTTCTTGAAGCCAGGCATGATGGTGAACACCTGTAATCCCAGCACTCAGGAAGCTGAGGCAGGAGGATCATTGTGAGTTGGAGACCAGCTTGGGCTACAGAG